GACTCCATGTGAAGCAAACAATCAAATATGCATCCTATAACTGGGTCTATCAAAGCCTCTGGAAGGCCAATATGTAAAGGGCTGGACATGACATACCAACATGTGCAGTAGAACCTGCCAGAGGCATGCGAATTTGCTGAAATTAATATGATTTATTTTCCCCTGTTGGTGTTAAAGGGAATTTTCCAGGGGTCTTAGCCAAATGACAGCATATGATAAACCGAGGCAACAAACATAGATTGGGTTCCCATACTGTGGATGTTTGCGAAATCCTCGGCACTACCGTTCAGAAACCTGGATTTCTGATGATTTCCCTGCAAGCACCAACAAACAATGGTTTCAACTTTGAACCATGGTTTGAAGGTGTAGGATTTCGTCCATCCACCGTTTCATTGGGTTACCACGCAATAGATTGTTACTAGGATCATTTAGGGAAACCCATATAATGTTGTTCCTTTTGCCATTGAGAATGGGCTCAATGGTCGGTTGGATCCACTTGCCGAGATACCGCAGCGGATTTGTGGCGGCCTCGGGTACAGGTTCCTGCACCTTTGAGCACGGGGTTGTAATTTGAGCGGGGATTTCCCCTTCAACAGTTGCCATTTGCTGGTGGTTGCCATTGAAACGATCGCCACTCTGGGAGGGTCCAGCAAGAGACATGGCGCGGAAGCCCTGTTAGAGGGTGATTTTGTCAACACGCCTCGAGGGTCCTGTGAGCCTGACAAAGCCTCTTGTGAGGATTGGGCATTGCTCACTGCAGTCCCTTACAGGGAATCCTAGGATTGGTCATTCGTTTCCCTTCTCGACGCAGCCCAGGCGATGTGTGGTGAAAACACGCTTCTGCTTGGGTTGGCTGCATCTAGGTCCCCCAGTAGTGCCCTTTCTCACCCCTTTTTTGGTTGGGAGGGTTCCCCTACTTATATAGACTACAGAAAAAGGTGTACGCTTATTTTAACCTTTTTACTGGACGACCTAGCCATAGTTCTAGACAACCAAAGGTTTCCTGTGAGGGGAGCTATGACCATGACCCACACAAACGAGTCTTGACCACGGCTGATGATCGATATGCTGGAAGCCTTCTGATTTGTTAGAATTGGACGTACGCGCGTTTCGGTGAGTGTATCTTATGATAGGGGCACCCCCAAAATGTTTAGTTTCCTTTTGATTTCACTATAAAACCTGTGCCAACAAGGGTACCCTCGAAAAAGACACGCCCATGTATAGCAGGCATAAGCGACCCTTTGAAAGCCAAAAGGAACATGACTGGCATCAGGTTTTGTTCTTCCCTGCCTCGTAACTGCTCCTCTCTTCGCCCCTGCTCAGATCGTTTCTTTGGTTCGCCGCAATAGGCAATCCGATGTTGAAGGATTTTGGGGGTTTTGACTGCCCGGTGCAAAGAGCCGTCGCAACAGTTGAGCAGGTACCTTGAACGTTCGTGTTTTGACATTGGGGTCTCCTCTCATGAAATGGGAGCCACAACAGCCGAGAAGCGGCTTTGAATTTGGGCCCTTCTAACTCCGTGCATGGCTTTCCCATTTTAGGGTTTGGTTGTGACAAATGTGATACCCTCCCACCCTTTTCACCTGGAGCCTGACACGGACATGGTCCCTTCAAAAGGAAAATGGTCTTCCCAGGCCCCCCCCCTGTCAGGTTCCATTTCAATTTGGTGGGAGGGTGAAAGGGACGGCACGGGGATCGACTTGGCCAACTTGCTGCAGGCACGCTTCTCGCACGCACGCTTTTCGATGGATACCGCGGACTTGCGGCAGGCTCAGAGGTTGTGGATCCCTGTGTCGTCAAAAGTTTCTGGGGTCCCGTAAAAGGAAACCACACGAGGGTGTTTGTTGCCAAGGCAAGTTGTTGGTAGATTACATAAGCATGTCCCCCATTCAGTGGAGTTAAGCTTGTGATTAGTGGGTTAGAACACAGATTCCCTAGCCACAAGATGCGATGTCGGAATGCGTAGTGTACGTAGCTTTTCCAGGTCGAATGCAAAAACATGCGGCCCAGCAATTGCACAGTACTCTCCTCTCTCCTTGGTTCTGATGAAATTACGGTTCCCTACGCCACACCGCCATTGTAAGTATTCAGATCCTTGCAAGACTAAAGCCAGCTGCTTCCGTCAGCCACTTGCGTGTTCGATCGCCCCGAATTGGCGACTTTTGCTTCAAGCCTGGGGGCCTTTCTCGTGCAGTGTCGCGATGACTTGGAGGACATGTTCCACTCCAAACCCTTTGAGAAATACTCTATCGAGTGGTAACCCTTTGTCATGTTCTTTACCTAAGGAAGCGGAATCGCTGGGCTAAAGAAAGTGGACAGGTTCTCATCAGCACCTGGGTATGTGTCAAAAATCGGGCGGCTTTCCTTTTCGTTTCCTTTAAAGCAGGGTACCTTCAAACAAACAAATGCAGCAACACATACCCACCTGCTAGGTCGGATGCCATGATCCACCTGACCAACGTGGCTAGCGACCTAGCCTGCGTTGCCAATACTATGGGATGCCTTTTGTTGAGGGTGTCCTTTTTGGGATGGCGTTAAAAGCAAACCCAGGGAGAACACACAATTTTCGGTTGCCCTAGTCTCCCGTATGTTGCTTTCCTCGGGTGAAACAAACATCGCCCTTTCGGGCTCATCTGCTGTCAGAACAGCCTTTAGACGGAAGAGAGCAGAGAGGCTCCTTTTGGGAGGGCGAATGCTTGGAATGGCAGGAAAATGACACAGCATCAGGGAACTAGCTGCAGTTTTTGGGGAAGGGGAATGCTTGGAAGGTATGACATTAGCAGGAAGACCACTCTTGTGTTGGAAGCGCGACACCAGACATCCACAAAGTTTGCGGGAAAGGGAGCTCAGTTGGCCAAAACCGACCTTGTAAACACTTTGGTTTTCCCATTTTGGTCCATATGTAGTCAAGGTTCCACTTCAAATTTCCAGGCAGCTGGCGAAGTGAGGGAAACGTTTCAGCCACTGGATGCTGCAAAGCTGACAGGCAGTGCAGAAGCACAACGATCACTACGACGAAAAGCGAGGTGGGAAATGGGACCTGTCCGGAGCTCAGCAGAAGGCAAAAAAGACAAGTGGCTTCAGCTCCAGATGAAAACCAAAATCCCTAGAAATCACGTGCCCCAGGCTAAGATCCAAGTTCCGGAAAACAAAATCCCTAGAAATCACGGTGCCCCAGGCGAAGAACCGTGTGCTAAGAACAGCGGTCCATTGATTTCCTTAGCCTTTGGGCTTCACCGAAATGTGTTGAACATGTCAAAGGCATGTGGGTGTGGCTCAGAATTAAACCGGAGGGGTTCCGCAGGTTTTGGTCCATGTTTCCACTTACCAGGGTTCCATTTTGGTACCGGTTTTTTGAGCCACAGCCATGTGGCAACGCATTTCAATGGGGAAGCTTTATCAAAAAATGGCTGGTAGACATGAGTCCCCTAAAAGATGTTCGCACGGTCTCCCATTAATTCACAGCCAGGCCTAGACCAACGTTGATCATTTTGCTCAAGCCAACCGTAGGACGGGCGTTTTGTCCCCGTCTCGAAGGGGATCCCGTCTCAAAATCCGCATCCCCACTCTACCCGCTTTCCAACCATGGAAGAGAACCAGGGGTTTTCCCAAAAAGACAGCATAGTCTCCCAACACCCTCTTGTCAGCTTGCATGTTTGATGTTGGAGGGAGGGTACTAGAAGTGAGGATGAGTGCGACTGCTGGAATGGCGATGGAAGCCTGGAGAACGGAACTAGGCGACCTTACTCACGCTGGCCCAGTTAGGGTAGTAGGGATGGGTCCTTGATACGGATACATTTCTCTCACAAAAAATATATGTTGCCTAACGTTGGCCATGCCCATAGCACTGAGAGTCGGTGAATGTAGTAGATCAAAGGTGTCCCATCAGGCGCCCCTTTTCTTGGTCAAATGCTTCACAGAAGAAAGCCGGTGAGCAGTCCACAACCTGGCTAGCTCGTGTTTTGTTGCAGGTGGGGGGGTGTTGGATAGTTGCGTGTTTTGTGTGTGTGTGTGTGTTTGCATTGATGTGGTGTACCTGTGTTTGTTAGATTTTGATTTTGTGCGACAGAAACAGATCAATGTACGCATGTCTTACGTTGTGTTGCTTGAGGTGTAGCCCTTGGGGTAGACTGTTCAGCTCATGCCAGTTGGATGGCAAGACATTGCCCATTCTAGGGGCAACTTCCTCATTCTGTCCAGAAAACTGTCAACAATCGCCAGGCACAATGGCTGGTCTCTCTCTCTCTCTCTCTCGCATCAGAGGTAAGCTCCTGGCAGCACCTTAGCAAAGAAAAAATGAATTCCAACAATGGCTGGTGCTTGAACTAAAATTAGGAATCAATCTCTCGAACCCGCGGCCAAGGCATTCACTGAAGATGCACCTCATGATGACCGAAGATCCCAAGCACGCCAGACATGGCTTGAAACCCTCACTCCGGCGAGGCAGATCGTCGGGATTCTAACAAAAGCGAATCGGGCACCATATTTTGCTTGGGTTAGGGCTCTGAGTTGGAAGCAGCCGCCATTGGCAGAGGCCAGGGTGAACCCTAAACAGGATTCCGACATAGAATTGACATGAATCAGATGCCCTCAGAACTGCTGAGCATCCGAAGATGTTTTTTTTTTTCTGCAAGGTTGGTTGTGTTTTTTTTGCTAATGGCTCTTCGGCCCTTGTGTTCGCCCTTCCCTCATGTGGCCTTGAAACAGAATGATAGGTGGGTGGGTCGGTGCGTGGGTGAGTGTGTGTGTGTATGTGTGGTTGATTAGTTGGTTGGTTGAGTTGAGTTGGGTTGAGTTGAGTTGTGTTGTGTTGAGTTGAGTTGAGTTGAGTTGTTGTGTTACGATTTGATTTGATTGATTTACTGACTGATTGTTTGATAAACTAATTGTGGATTTTGATTTGACTGTTTTGATTGCTTGATTGCTTGATTGGTTTGATTTGATTGGTTTGAATTGATGCGATTGGTGGATTGATTGATTCATTGATTCATTGATTTTCA